TTTGGTTGTGTTGTGGACATAAATTCAAAGCATGGTGGAGCAAGGTGAATGTTTTTAGGTAACTGCATTACAAACGCTGGACTCAGGCAGATGAGAAACCATTTTGGAGCTCCTGCTGTTAGCACTGATGGAAAGAATAATAATAATAAAAAAAGAACAAGAAAATCAGCCGAGTTCATGCAAGCATCATGTAGTGGACCATAACCTGCTCACCCCTGCTGTTATGGGGTGTGCTGTCACTGCTGGCCGATCCCCATGGTAGAAGTCCAGCAATACCTCAATGCCACATGATGTCTGAACATCAGTGACACTCCCCTCGTAGTACAATTCTTAATGCACGTGGAAAAGGAAAGCTGGACACTTGTTCTAGACACATGAAAATAAGTAAACATTAAAGAAAAGCTATGCACCGTATATTGTGTTCCTGGAGCAGGATCAAACTTGTTATTTCAACTCCCATGCTGCCAGCTGGTCATGACTCAAACTAATACACTATACCGTGCAGCCTTCAAGTAAGAAACAAATATGAAAACTCTCTATACTCAGATGCAGAGAATATGAGGCTGCAACATGCATAATGTAAAATAATGCTTTCCATAGCTGGTCTCACTGGGGTCTTGCAACTATGGCTAAATAAATGATTACACTTGTACACTGTTTGGCAAGTTGTTATTAAATCGGTTTGATATTTATATGAATATCCATGCATAATCTTATACTGAAGCAGTTTGCTCCAGGGTGGCTCAGGCGGTAGAGCGGTTGTCCTCTGACTGTAAGGCTGGCGGTTTGATCCCGGCCCCTCCACAGTCGAAGTGTCCTTGGGCAAGTTGCTCCCAATGGCAGGCAGCACCTTGCATGGCAGCTCTGTCACCATTGGTGTATGAATGTGTGTGTGAATGGGTGAATGAGAAACATTGTAAAGCGCTTTGAGTGCTGCAAAGGTAGAAAAGCATTATATAAGTGCAGACCATTTGCCATTTGCTCCTAAAATTTGTACTTAAATCGTGGCCAAACCTCCTAATTTCTTTACGCTGAGCTGTGACATTAGTGGTATTATAGTAATCGAAGGGATTGTTAAAAAAGAAAATTAACTGCACATTTTGTATTCTTTATACAGACCTATTTCTATTCTTTAGTGTTTAATATCAAGAGGACTTGCAGGGGATGCAGTCCCTTGCATCATTTTGCCATTTTAGATGAGACAAATATGAAAGCGCAAATGATTGCTTTTTTTTTTTTTTTTTTACTCATCACACAAACAAAAATAATAATATGTATGAAAATGTCGAGTGTCACTGCAAACCTCTGTGGAGGGGAGGAAAATATGCAGCTTCAGGGCTAGCAAGAAATACAATCTCGAGGCGCAATGGCGCTGTGTAAACACTTGAACCTCACCAAGAAAAAGCCAAACAAGGGAAAACTGAGCTGAAGAATAAATGTGTTTGAAGGTATTTATTTATACAGTTTAATAGCACGTTTTCAAGGAAAGAGAGGGGGAAAAACAAACAGGCTCGCTCGCACTGAGACTTCACCTACAGGGACGAGAGCACAGTGACTAATGGGGGCAATAAGCAAGCGCAATGATAATGGCAAAGTAAACATTTCCCAGCATCAAACAACAGCCCGTAAGAAAATTACCATAAGAGGCGACAATCTTTCGCAGGCTGTCAACATACTAAACAAGAGACTAATGGCCAAATGAGGAGAAGCCTGACTAAGCTCGTTTTAGAACAATAAGTGTGACACATATAGTGGAATGAGGTTGATAAGAAAGAAGGTCAACATGTGCAATTCACAGTAATTGTGTTCCAGAGAACAATTACACGTGACTGCTGCTTCTGCTTTACAGGTTAATGGTTTGGAGCTCGTTCAAATGTGAGTTGAAACAGTCACTGCTTCCTAAATACAGTATGTAAATGTTAAGCAAAAAACATAACCGAGTCACAGTTTTTATTTCCTTAAAAATGCATTTCTCAAAACATGAATGTGGATTTTGACCAAAAACACACAGCCATTTCATCACTGCAGCAGATGATGATTTATTTGGACAAGAAGAATTTACTACTATTGCAAATTACTTATAAATAAACAGAAAATTTGAGCAACTTGGTCAAATTAATAGTTGTCATAGTTGTTAAGTTAGCTCATATGCTAGCTGGACAATGAGTTCATGCACTTTTGTTTCTGTATTTGTAACATTTACTTATGTTTTCTTGCACAGTTAGCAAATAGGCTACAATATTTTCTTTCACAATAGACACTTGGGGTCTCTGTCCCTTTAAAGGTCAGCACTATCAAGATGGCATGCTATTCAATGGTGCACATCTGTCAGACTTGACCTCTATGCAGAGTATTAGCTCGGATTTGCTTTGCTTCCATGAGTGGCTTATCTGATTGCCAATGCAATGCATTAATTTTACCCCAACTTTCCATTAGTATAAATTCTAGTGCAGTGAGGCCTTTTAATCAGTGGTAATGCTGTCAGGTGCATTGCTGGTGCTATCACGTTCTGCAAGAGTAGAAAGCCTACCTTTGCCTCTCTCTGAGCCCTTTGATGATCAAGTGCTCTTACTAGAACCCAGTATCCTAGGAAGCAGGTTTATATTAATCAAAATCAACGTTAGTGAACACGTTGTGCTCCTTATATGCAGCAACGTACAGACTACAGATGAGGACGCCACTTGAATCAGTGTGTCGAAGGGCACGTTAACATGCACTTATGTTTCGGCACTCACAATCCTGAATACAGATGTTGTTTGGAGCAAAAATGAAAAACATATGGGCATCACTGATCTTATATAGGGATCGATAAAACCCTTTGTGATACACATAGATTTCTTGAGGAGTAATTTTCAAGCTCAGCTCACTGTCAAGATGGCGACTCCGGGCAACAACGGGTAAAGAAGTGGAGCATTAGTGGAGCTGAGGCAGGCCATGCATACGTCTGTTTTGGCCTATGATGGTACTTACATGTCACTCAAAATGACCCCGCCCTTAATTATGCATGACTTTAAGTCTTAATACAGTTTAAACCGATGACTTAGAGAAAAATCCCCTGCTTTTGTAAGTGCCATGGACAGGGAAATTAACTACGTAGATCAAAAGTTTTTTTATTTGTAGGCTGTTAACATGTTTATTTCTGCTGTAATTTTGGACATTTTAACATGGGTGTCTCTGGAGACTGACTCACTTTTGTAGCCAGCCTCAAGTGGCCATTCAGGGAACTGCAGGATTTGCCATCTTGTGTCGGTTTTGTTTTTCAATCACAGAAGTAGCTGCTTGGTGGCCACTGGACATACAATGACACACTTTTGCTGTTTGTCTTTACTGCTTGTTGAATGACAGGCAGTCTTTTTTTTACCAGCTGACACCCAATCCAAACAGTTGGTACCATGATGGTGCTGAACGTCTCATGATAGTATCGACTCTAAATGACAAAAACCCACCTTCTGGTACTTTGACACATTTAAATTTCAACTCTCTTGGATGTTTAATGCATTTCAGCAGAGAATCACAAAGCGTTCCCAGAATATATTCTGACAAAAAGAAGCGGTCGTGACTTTAATTCAGAAACACTCTCATGGAGAAATGTACTATTCATGAGCGGCGGGTGCCGTGGTTGAGCTGGCGACCCATGTACAGGGGCTATAGACCCGATGCAGCTGCTATGGAAAAAAAGTAAAAAACTCCAGAGCTGGGTTGGTAACACACATTGAACAGTTGCATTTGAAATGAAAACTAGTTTAAAGTCATTGCATAAAGCAGAAAGAAACTCCTGCATGTTGGTTCTAAGAATGACAGCAAGATCTTAGGCTTACTGTTGATTTTTTAAAAACCTATTCCGAACTTTTTTAACACTTGTTGGTAACATCCAGTTTTAATTTATTGACAAGATAAAAGTACATATCTATATTATTTAGAAGATCATAGAAAATCCAGGTTCTTTTTCTTTTAATGGTTGTAGAAATAGCATTTTATAGAATATTGTGGAGCATTTATTGTTTATTGTTCTCCAACATGCCCAACAAATAGATTCCACTTCTTCTTATTGTATTTATATTTTTTCAAACAAATCGAGGGCAGCAAGAAATCTGTAAGAAAGCTAGGGTTTTTTTTTGGAAAATGCCAAGGACGATATTGTTCCTGAGCCCCCCACTATGCATGTCTGTAAATGATGAGAGGCTGTGACGTATTATTGAATTTCCCTTCTGGGATAAATAAAGTATTTTTCATTCTTTCATTCATTTCATTCATTATCCATTTGAAATTGTACACCGCTGTTTATATATAAATGCCGTGACATTACAGGTAACCTTCAAACAGGAAAAAACTGCTTAAAGAAGGCTTTGGTTCCAGTGTTTCTTTGTTTATTAGCACAAGCACACGTAAAAGGAATTGATCTACAGAGATAACATGCAATATATTGATTATTTACAAGGACAAAGAACCAAGAATTTTTTATTTTTTTAATACATTCAAAAGACATGGGGATATAGCCTTGTCGGGATACCAGTTGTTGAAAGGGTCAATACTTAAATAGAGACATAACATTTAAAAAAAACAACAACAACAAAAAAACACGCAAAATTAAAATTTCAAGTTAGTATCGAGAATTTTTTATTTATTTTTTTAAAATCTTTCTGAGAACCAGTTGAATGAAAGCAAACACGCAGCAGGACAAAGCATATCTTTATGACGGATCAATAAGGACTGTAGCAGCTGTTATTAACAAGTCTTCCATGTGTTATAGTTTATACAGATGAAACAACGTTTTACAACAGTTTATGGCCACAGTGTGAATCGCACAACAATCACATTATACTTAGAACAGAAATACTGTATGTATGTACCGCCGACGAGAAAATGTACGTACTTTGTTCCCCTGTAGTCAGTGTACTGTTGTTTGACATTTTCTTGCACTTCATGAGGCTTGAACTCTATCCAGAATGTGCACATGAGAAATGTCAGTCCAGATCTCAGTGACCGTTAGATTCTTCTTTTCACCTCAAGTGAATACATTCAATCTCCTCTGTTACAGGCACACAGGAGGTCCTCATATCCATTTCATCCACAGTCTTACTGGGGGCGTACGTTGACCTCCAGCGCAGCAGGACAATCTTCTTCAGGTACTTAACTGTATTGTTCTTGACGCTGACAAAACAAAAGGTGTTAATCATGCTGTTGCTCATGGCGATGCACTCAATAATGTAGAAGGCCACCAAAGAGTTCTTCTGGCGGGAGATGAGCGTTGGATGAAAGTCTCGCAGGATGGTGAAGCCGTAGTACGGCGCCCAGCACAGGATGTACGCCGTCAAGATACCGATTAGGACCATCACCGTCTTTCGGCGACAACGCAACCTCTTCCTTATCTGCTCCGTCTGGAAACCTGGGACACTTTTGAACCAGAGCTCACGGGAAATTCGGGCATAACACATTGCCATGACGATCACAGGTCCGACAAACTCTACAGCAAAAACAAACAGGAAGTAGGAGCGGTAGTAGGCTTGCTGGTCCACAGGCCATATCTGGGCACAGAAGACTTTGTGGGTCGTTGGGCTGCTCCCGCCATGTGGGTACATGGTCTCAGAAGCAAAGTAGGCAGATGGAATAGATATCAGAATAGGAACAATCCAGACGCCTGTTATCAGGCAGTAGGCAGTTTGATACTTCATGCGAGGCCTCAGAGGATGGACTATGGCCATGTACCTGAAAGAACAAAGACATCGCGTTGTGTCATTAAGGACAACTTGTAAAACAATGAAATCAAATAACCTAGTTAGCAAACTGTGGGCTGAGTGAGCTCCACAGATTCATCAGATGGCTCCCAGTCACTCGTGGAAGATGAAAGCTTAATACACGGTGCTACATTATTCAGCGAAATGAATATTTCATATTGGCAGAGGGTCATTTCTATGGAGTCAAAACAGCACTTTTGTCACCAGAAATTCTTCAGTAAATGAACAGCTAGGCACTAGACAATGACTGACAGTTCACAGCAACGCATGACCTAACACAAAAAATGCATTTCTTTTTCATGTTTGTTATAATTGTAAATTTTTGCTTACATCTGTATTTGTTTCATATAAATATATGTTTGGAAAGTCAGAAAACATTTATTACCAATTGGTGAACCCAATAAATATGGATACTGTAGTTTTGGAATGAATGAGTGATAGTTTTATGTACATCCTTTTATAAGACTTTGACAAGAAAGTATTAGTAGACCATCTGTATTTGGACAAACAAAATTATCATAATATTTGGGGCAAATCTTATACACACACACAAACAGATTGTGTTTGATTAGGTGGGTGGTACGTGCCAGTAAACTTCCAGATGGGAGGACCCAAAGAGGCAAGGTATCCCAGCATATACACCCACCCCAGGAGAGAGAGAAGAAATATTCACAGGAAGAGCCACGGGAAGAGAAAGACGCCATTGATGTCAAGACACAAAAACTCAACACAGTGCATGGAGAGTTCCACTCAATGTCCAGCTCCCTGAAACACTTTGAACATTGAAAACAAGGAGAGTTTATTAAGTGTCAGCACCACAATCCAGGATACAATGAAAAGCATTCATGAATACATCAGGAATATGGGCCCCCGGGATAAACTTCTAAGAGAGCGCCTCAGGCAGAAGAAGATAGAAGGTGCTGAGAGGCAGGAAATACCATGGATGGCCAAGCCCTATTCATGGTACGTATATCTAGCAGAGAGAGGTGTTGGCTGAAATCAATATATCCTACCAGCAGCTAGAGATGAGCAGCTGCTGGCAAACCAACCAGACAAGTGGTGATCGACAAACAGCAGAAGAGGGTAATTGTGATAAATGTCACAGTCACATCCGGAAGGAGGAGCACAAGAAGACTGAGAAGTAACTGAAACAGATGTGGAAAGTGAAGGCAACAATTGTCCCCGTGGTAACAGGAGCATTAGAGGCTGTGACCCCGAGTCTGGAAGCGTTGCCCTGTTTACCTGAAGCAACAGCTACAATTGTATAGAGCAATCTTGAAGTAGTTTAGTGGTTTCTCTGCTGGGGTGGTGTGGTGATGTAGAGGTTAAAACAGCTGCCTAATAGCAAGAAGCTTCTGTGTTCAAACCTGCTGGTCAGATGGGGATTTTCTGTGTGGAGTTTGCATGTTCTCCCTGCAGCTACATGGGTTTTTGTTTTTTTCCCCACCTTCCACTCACAGTTCAAACACATGTGTAGTACAGGTTAACTGATGGCTCTAATTTGGCCACAGGTGCATGCGTAAACACATCTGTGTCTTTGTAGAGTGCGCTCACGTGTGTCCACACATGTTCATGAACAAAAACACATGTGAACATGTGTTCACACGTGACTCTTGAGAGTTCAGATAAATTGTTCTGTTCTCGTCATAAATAAGCAAATTAGTCAAACCACTGTAAAATATGTTTTCAAAGAAGCCCTTTTTAATTCAATTCCATTTCATTTTTTTCTCCCAGCATTACCATACATCCCTCCTTAGATGTATTTTACATTTAAATAAGCAACCTGTGCGTGCTGTGTATGTATAATTCAGCTACAGAAGACACAGAAGTAAACCATTTTATAGAGCAATCTTGGGCTAATTCAGTGGTGTCTTTGTTGGGGTGGCGTGGTGATGTAGAGGTTAGAACAGCCGCCTAATCGCGAGAAGGTTCTGTGTTTAATCCTGCTGTTGTCTGGGTCCTTTCTGTGTGGACTTTGTATGCTGTCCCTGTGTCTGCATTGTTTTTTTCTTTTCTCCCAGGTGCTCCAGCTTCCTCTAGTAGTCCAAAGACATTGTGGTGCAGGTTAACTGGTGCTTCCCAAGCGGCCGTATGTCTGGGTGAGCATGTGTGGCTGTTTGTCTCTTTGTGTTATGTCTCTTTGTGGCTTGTGGTCACACGTGTGTTCACACATGTCACCTTACAGTTCAGATAAATTATTCTGTTCCCATCATACATAAATCAACAAATTAAACAAACCATTGTAGAACATGTTTTGAAAGAAGCTTTTTAAAATTTGCTTTACAATTGTGTCTAAATTAATTCCACTTCTCTTACATCATCACCATGTATACTTCCTTAGAATTACATTTAAATATGTAACCTGTGTGCGCCGTGTCTGTATCATTGAGATACAGAGAAGAAAACAACCCTATAGATGCTTGACAGTCTGTGAATCCTCCATAACAAACTGCATTCAGTATGCTGCCGCTTGTCCATAACACATTGTCAGGAGGATTATTGACTGAACAATAATTTATAATAATTACTTTGGCATTTTAATGAACACGTGTTATCTAGCCTCTGTCTGACTTCATTATCTAACTTCACTGTTACATACAAATCAACCATCACTCCTCATAAAGCGACTTAAACCTGAAACGTACCGATCTGTGCAGCTGTGAATGTTGTGTGACAGCTTCTGCGGAAGAAGTGGGTGTCTTTCTTTTTTCTGTTTATTTAGTTATTCTTATAGTTTCTGTGCGTGTGTGTGTGTGTGTGTGTGTGTGTGTGTGTGTGTTCCCCTCCCCTCAATCATCATTACATCTAATGTTCGACACAAAGAGTCTGAAATACTTGTGCTGTGAAGTTGTTTTTTTCAACAGCTGAGCGATGTCGCTTACAATTTCTGGTGAATGAAGAATGAAGTCACTCTTCTGTTTTGTTTGTGTAGTATCCAGAGCCGGTAGTTTGTTTGCATAATGGTCCCGCTTTACTGCATGATGTTCTAAGGTACGTCTAAATGTGTCTGAGCTTGTATTCTGTGTGGAATATGCAAATACACTCTTTTGTATACTTACCTGTAATCCACAGGTACCAGCCTATATTAAACAGTAAAGGCCACCTGACTCAACCAAAACATATAGAAAATCTTGATATGAAAGACTGATTTCTAGTGAAAATAAATTAATTAAACAAAGGTAGTCCAGAAATATGACAATGTATAAGTTCTGATTACTTACATCTTCATTTAAACAACAAAAACTGTCATTAAAAAAGGGGGTAAACAAGAGATAAGAAGTTATCTTCCTTGTCTTCCCTGAACACATCATTAATATGCAAATGTATGTGGTAGATAGTGTGACATCCATAGTATGGAAGTAATGGAAGTAATGGAAGTAATGGAAGTTGCATACTAAAAAAAAAAAATAATAAAATAATGCCTTCAGTGTTTCTGTTTGGGAAGTTTAGAGAAATGTAACTTTCCAAACACAAAACAGAGCCTAAAGCAACTGTTGTGCAAAAATCCTCAAGCATGCCAAAAGGAAGGTAAAAATCAATAGCAGCCATTTCAGCTGCTCAGACTTTCATCAATACTTAGAAAGCCTTGGATTTGAGGAAGGGGGGGGGGGCTTTAAATATCCAAGACACAGGTGCAGGCAATCCGTTTAGTTGGAGAGACAGGATGGAAAAAACTTCCCACTCCTTGATTATGCTTCATGCATTTCACATTTTGAACTGGCACCAAACACAGTTACTTTCCCGCCGGGCAACTGAGGTCACATTTTTCGGCGATGTGAACAAACCAAATCTGACTTTCTCATATCAGATTTTGGCTATGTGAACATGTGGTCCTAGATTAGACCTATTCATAGCAATTCCACTGCTGTCAGAACAGTCTGATTGGAATTTATGTGTTCTTTTTAAACAGCTCTGCGCATGCTACACTATGGGCCTTTTTTTTTTTAACAGAAGATATTTTGACTTCTGAGGAAGCACAGGTGTGTTACTGATGGCTGCATTCCACTGAGCGGAGGTCTTGCTTTTTCTGTCACACAAATAACATCACTATTCTGCACACGGTTAAATCATGCAAAGACATGTCGCTTACAAACATGAATGTAAAATGATTGCAGCCATAGTCCGGCTGGCGCTAATGATCTGTGTCTTTCTCCCAAAACACTGTAACAGAGCCATGGTCTTGCATGGTTAGGCTTTGTTTATGTGTTACTCCCAGGGGTCTTTTTCAGTCTACATTAGCCCTTCTCACGGCAGATGTTTTGATTTGTCATAGCAGGAGAAGCACAGGTGTTAACGCCGGTTCTGTTGTGTCTGAGAGTCCCACTGACCCACTGCAGTGTGACGGAACGCAACAAACACAACCCCAGGACCCTGAAATTAAAACAGCCAAATGAAGTCCATCCAGCATTAATTTGAGTATTTCCAACTGTGCGATTCCTTCTGTGACGTGTGAGAATAAGGCCTTGTTAACATCCTCTAATTAACTATACTCACAGGCCCTCCTGAGTCTGATGGCTCACATGACCGTGTTAGATTGCTGCCAAAGTTTGCGTCCCTCTCAGGTATGGAAATCATCTTAGGAATGACTTCAGCTTTTTTTTTTTTTATAGCTGTTGTTTTCTCCACGTTTTACACACCAAATATAGACAGAATGCTGTTGCCACTGCATTCCTTCTCCTTCAAGTAGACTTCAAAGCATAATGTCATCATGAAACAGTTGCTTAGATGTGTGCTACAAAGCAGGATGAAGGGTTTAGTGACGTATGTTGAGGCTAAAGCCAGACTTATCAGTGTCACAAAGGTGGCTGTCTTTTAACCTGGCTACATCACCATGGTAACTTATGCTATCAGAAAGAAGTGTCTCCCTTAAACTAATTAGTTTCCTGATGACTCTCTATGAGAAATATAGATTCTCACATGAGGGAATACATTATATCTGCAAACCTAATGAGCTGTGCATTACTCATCCAACTGAATGAAGCTGTGCAGTTGCAGTATTGGACACTATATGCACTGCGCTGTCATGGGAACCTACACTCAGTTGGTCATGCAGTAAATGCATAAATGTGTCTTTCTGGGGGCTGGAAGGTGGATCGGTGGTTAGGAACGTCGCCTCACAGCTAGAAGATCCCTGGTTCGCATCCTGGTTAGGGCGCCTGGGATCTTTCTGCGTAGAATTTGTATGTTCTCTCCGGCTTCCTCCAACGAAGAGGTTAATTGTCTGTAGGTGTGAGTGTGCTTGGTTGTCTGTCTCTCTGTGTAGCCTGGTGGTGGTGACCTGTCCAGGGTGTCCCCTGCCTTCGCCTTGAGTCACCTGGGATAGACTCCAGCCCCCCCGCGACCCTAGTGAGGATTAAGTGGTGTGTAGATAATGGATGGATGCCATTTGGGTTGGTCCTGATTTGCTGACAAGTCCAGTTTTACATTGCTGGTACCGCAGCTAATAGAAAACAGGTTAGAAGATTGATTACTCTATTGGTATTTATCACACATACTATAATCCATCCATCCATCCATTCGCTATCTACACACCGCTTAATCCTAGCTAGGGTTGCGGGGGGGCTGGAGCCTAATCCAGCTGACTCAGGGTGAAGGCAGGAGACACCCTGGACAGGTCACCAGTCTATCACAGGGCTACACTTAGAGACAGACAACCAAGCACACTCACATTCACACATACGGACAATTTAGAATCACCATTTAACCGCAACATGTTTTTGGACTGTGTGGGAGGAAGATGGAGAGTCGGAGAGAACCCACGCTGCATGGAGAGAACATGGAAACCCCACCCAGAAAGATCCCGGGTGTCCTAACTGGGATGCGAACCTGCGAACGTTTTGCTGCGAGACAACAGTGCTACTGCTCCACCTTGCAGCCCTACAGTATAATCATCTAAATTCACTTTTTCAATACCATATTTAAATGAATGAAGCTATTAATACTTCAAAGCTGTCATTAGCAGCTGTCGCACTAGAAACACTTGGCCGCACCATAAGCGCACTGATCAGTGAAATAACTATATCACCTCACACAACTGATTGTTTTCCACCAGTATATTTCTCTTGGATCATTTGCAGCAGCAGCACTTTTTTACTGTGATCAATTTTTATTTTCTTCATAGCTCTCCATCATAACACCCTTTTGACTGAATCCAATCAGTCCATTTGTGCAGAAGACGAGTCACATGATGCGCCTAACAACCCCTTTCATGTGAATGCGCACAGAGTGTGAAGAAGAAATCCTGGGTCAACAAAGAAAGTTGATAACCATCGCCAGTCATCTCTGATTGGGGTTTTGTCGAGACGACATACACAAAAAAAGCCCGGCTATGTCAAACTAGTACACTCGTCCAACATGCTCGTTTGGTTCTTTTGCCATCTCTGACCAACAGTAACAGTTATTTTCATTTAATGTAGTGATATTTACTCAACTTTTATGAAGTACATTCATTTTAGCTTAAAAGCAAAACTGTCATAAATTCTTTTTTTAGACACTTTGGGGAAGTGGAAACAAGCTGTGAATGTTGGCATATCATCACCTTATAAGCTGATGTGGGGAATATGCTATCAAAGCACTTATTTGCACACCCAGCAGTTATGGAGCAACATGATCAATTATTTAGAGTCATTTTTCTTGCCACCTGTGGAAGACCATTATTCGCTCTCTTTAAATTCAGTTTCTGTTCTTTACTTTGAAATCTGCCCGCTCCCGAGGAAAACATCTTACTCCTGAGCCGCAAAATGCTTTACTATTCTCACCGGCACGTCCCTAACTGTGTCTGTCTGCTGTTTATTGCAAAGTAGACACGCTGCTATTTTTGAATATTGCTTATAGCTGCTCATATGGGTTGTTTTGAATTCCACCGACAATCTATTTGTTTTTCAATCATGAGGTCTTTTGTGTCAAGACCAGGCCCTACCTGGATTGTTTGGTATGCAAACAACAAGACTTCCTCCTCAAGCCCTTGGAGTGTGATGCATGTTTGAAACACTGTATATTTCAGCCTGTGCCGGAGGACATCTATCTGCTGCATGTTAAACAGAGACGACTGTTCGCTGTCGAAGTTTTCATATTAACTGACTATCAAAGATGGAGGAAAAAAAAGTCATGTTCTTCCATGGTCTTTGAAGTACTGAGGATTGTATAGGCAAACACAAATATTTCATTTTGATGAGTCATACGTGAAGATAAATATAGGATCGTATGGTGCCAAGTTGACAATATATGGCTTATTTAACAGCAGATTTGTAAATGGTGGTTTTTACTGTGCTCATTTTGTGGGTATTACTGGATGTAAATAGTGCAGAACTGTTGCTGTGGAGACCACATATTTCTGCCGTGGTTTTCTCAGAGCCTGTTTCAAATACAGGTATTTCTAAATTGTTCTAAAGTATTAAAAGAGCATTTCTCAGCTGCAGCCGTTGAAGAGCTCTTGTGGAAAACTTGATAGTGTTGAAGAGCTTGGACGCTTGAGTGCTGAAAACCCTCTTGAGTGAAAATCAATTATTTGGTAAAGTGTCCATATGGTGTTATTTTTTTATATCCTGGAAGTTCTATCATGAGCAAAATGAGCAGTACCAATGACAATCTCAAAAACATTGATTCAGACTTCCAGGGTTCTATTTAAAAAAAAAATAATAATAATTTAAGGAATCAATCCTGTCAACTTGCAGAATCTGGTTTCTAATTTGAACATTACAACTTGCCATCGTGTAGCATAGAGGAGTTTTACGGTATTTGAGCAGAATCGGAGGTGAGCTGGTGTGCTGAGCTGCAGTGAGTGGGGAGAGGTGGGTGGAGGAAGAAGAGGCAGGGATCATTCTAGAGTTGTAGAGTTGCATCTCAGTCATCTGAGGGCAGGAAGAGATTATTTTTCACGGACGAAACTTATAAATATGTAACTTTGATACACAGGAAATTGTTTTTTTTACAGGTTAAATCAATGAATGAAGCGGAACATATGGGAAATGAACTGAAATCAATGATTGAGCACCGACTGAGAAAATGCATATCCCCTTAGTAAAGTGTGTCTGAGAAGGAAAAAGTCTTTAAATGCTACTTAATCTTATAAGTAAGTAACATCTGTCAAGCCCCCTGCCTCAACCTCCAATTTGTGACAATCTCTTTATTACAGTATGCCATTACAAGTTGGCTAGGCATCTGGTTTAAGCTTCTAGTAGGTGTGAATGTCAATGTATGTGCTCTGATTCTAAAGAACACTTGATGATGCTTTACCTTACGATGGTGCACAGTCAGAATAAGTAAGGGTTATATAACCAAGAAGTAAAGAGTGACAACGTATATAGTAAGATGTGTGACTTTACATGGGGCTGCACAGACAGAGTAGCTAATGATTAAGTGGAAAGTAATGACGGAGTCGTTCCTACTTTGTTCCCCTAAGCAGCTGATTCACTGGTCATCAGGAATGTCTTATGAAGAGGGCTGCTCCATTTCACAGATCATAATCACTGAACAAATCGTTACCGAATGATTGATTCATACAATATCACTAGATCTGATCTCTGTCAGCTCTAACTCATTATTATATTCTACCATGTTGTAAAGTCTCCCCATACTGACCAGTAGGGAATAGGTCAGTGAAATAAAAGACATAATGTTTGAATTACTTTAACAGTACACTCATAACAACCTCTTCTTTTTTTTTCATTCTCACAAGAGCAAAAATGTTGACTCTGCTGCCTGCTGTAATCTAAAAATCAATTTACCTTATCTAACATCTTGAAAAAGCATTGCATCAGTGTCCCCATCACCTAAAATCTCACAGCTAAAGAAGAACTGTGAGTAACTGACAAGATGTCCAGGAAGAAAAACAACTTTGCAAGGGCTTGAAATCACCTGCTGCAATGTAATTTTCAGCTATAGATGTACAGCAATGTGGTTATACGGTGTCTTTATGAGGTTCTTTCAGTACAGGACAGAATATTGACAGAAAAAAATGCTTTATTGATTCAAATCTCTATTGACAATGCTGGAAGGTTGGCCGAGATGCGGTAGCTTATTGAACGGAACACATGTGCATGCTCAAAGGAGACACAATCACAGACACAGAAATGTGTGGGGGAAAAAAAGGCACTCACCTGTCAACTGCAATGGCAAGCAACGCGTTTGTAGACACATAGAGCGACACAGTCCGGAGGTAGTTCACAGAGGCGCACAGCACCAATCCGTGATCCCAGGAAAGCTGTTTGACCACGTAGTAGTCCACCAGGAACGGGCAGCACACCACCGCCACAATGAAGTCCGAGATGGCCAGGTTAGCGATGAGCAGGTTGGTGAGGTTGCGGAGCTTTTTGTAGCGCGTCAGTGTGGCGATAAATATAAAGTTTCCCAACCCACAAACAAGCACGATGCAGACGAGGACCACGCCGATAACAATGGTGGCCACGAAGAAGGCCTGACCTTGCGTGGTGTCTGGGATCTCATCGGGAGGAATGCCATAGTCCATATCATAGCTGTCCAGATAATGATCCAACTTGCCCTCTGGGTGACTCTCCTGCATCTCTGTAGAAGCTGCTGCCATGTGGCTGATGTTTAGGTCTCCCATGTCGTACCAGGCACTGTTACTGTGGTTCTGGGAAACTTGTATCTGAGAGCAATGCGATCCGACAAATTATGTGCAAAATGATGATACTTTCAGGCTCATGATTCCAGTGGTCCCGTCCTCTGCTAAGTTGTTTTGTGTGGATGTTTGAAGAGGCCTCTTTGGAAAGAGAAGCACATCTTCACCTGGAGCAGAAAGTTGCAATGTCAGCATTACGAGGTCACAGTTCATGGCAGCAAGATATGATCAAAAGAAATTGCATGAGCTCAGTGCTTCAGATGCGGCCTGTGTGATATTTTCTGTGATATTTTCTGATAAAAGAAGGAAAAACAATATTTGTGGTTGACGTCATTTTGTCCAGCAAAGACCTTTATGTAATTAATTGGGACCCTGTCACTTCACAGCAGCGTCACAGATCAGGCTCAGCTTGATTACAGTCTGCAATTTGCTGCAAAAGTGGTCACTTAAAATACCACCTTGGTATACATATGAAGAAGGCTATAATGGAAAACCAATTAATAAAGCCAATTACAAACACAGAGCGCGTTTAACCAGATAAAAGCAGATCTGTAGTAATACAGTAGCAAAATGCAATTAACCTGCCTGCTGACCCAACATAAAAGGCAATAAAGACAGAGAGAGGTCAGAGGAAAGTAGACAGGAGAGCCCAAAATAAAACTATGATCACATTTAAAAGTCATTGCTGTAAATCCAATCCAATATAGATACACTTTGAGCAAAGAACAACAAAACCACAACCACACACACACACACACACAAACTTTGACAGCCTATTTCTATGAAGCTGTATTACAGTATTACAGATCATCACCTCCAAGAAGGAGGATCACAGTGACAATTCACGTTTCTCTATATTTTAGATTGAATTCTAGCAACAAGACGCAGCCAAATAATGCACAACATTTCAAGCACTCACCAGGAAACGCTGCGCGACTTTCTCGAGCTTTTAAAGAAAAGAAAAGAAAAAGAAAATGCAATTACCCGTTTGCGTTAACAGACAAATCCGGCCAGCGCAGACAGCAGCTCTCTCCATCCGCCTCTCTGCGCACTGACTGTGCCAAACCGCTCCGCTTCACCTCCGGCGCTTCTTTGAAAGGAAAAGTTGCGTCTGTTCTCTCCTCCTCTGCCTCAAATGATAAATGTGATGACGGTGGAGGCGCGCTGGAAGGAAGCGCACGTCTTCGCAGGAGCGCTGTGGGAGAAGGGTGGTGGGCAAAGTTCACCAGTTTTAATGGACATCCATAAATACAGGGCGGAATCCCACTCTTTCACACAAGACGCAAGGAGAAGACTCCATTCACACACCCACTGGATACATGAGGTCCTTTCATTTCACCTCAAAGCCTCTTGTTTATCATCTGTGTTGTTGTTTTTTTATTGCAGGTGATGAATCCTTGACTGAATGGTCTCTTTAAGGTGGTTGCTGTTTGATCACATTTTAATACAGAAAGGCTTGGGTGGGACTCATTTTAATGTTAAACCCCAACAAAAATCTACAATAACAGATTTTTTGTTCACTAGGGGTCAGTCTAAAGAAACTGTAAACAACACTATTATTTTAAGGCAGCAAACTGTTGCCTGCTCACAAATCCAGCTTGAAGTCACATCGTCATGGGCATGATGAATGTTTTCAGCTGCTGCTCTCCTCTAACGCCCTCATTGCAGGCTGCTGATCCTCTGTGAATATTGTTCCGTCTGGTATTTGGTGCAGGCTGGGTTGTGTGCATCCAAAGGTTCGTGTTATCAGACATTTCTTGCAGAAAATAATTTCCTTGCAAGGCTTTCGCACCCAAAGCAAAAAGTGTGACAGCGAAAAGAGCAAGTGTATTATTTCCCATCGAGAGAGTTTTGACCCCACTTGCACAGACTTCCAAGATGTGCATTTAGTTATGGCGGTGAACACCTCCCGGAAGGAGCACAACATCACCTGGGACGATTTTTGATTTTTGCTGTGGCTGTGTCAACAGTTTTGAAGACTTGGGAGTCGTGATTTGATGTCAGATGACGAAGCATTGCAAACATCATAAGCTTGCACGGCAGTCACTCATTGCATTGGTTCTGAAGTGGTTATAACTGTGTAGTTTGGCTGCATCAGATATGAGAGGAATGCCACTTTTTTTTCTTGTTAAATTAAAACAGATTCAATATGTTTGCATTGCAGACTCACGGCAAATATGTTGTTCTTACTGTAGTGAAATAACGATTCCAACAAATACATCACAGATAATGTGAGTATTGCATTACGTCATCTAAAACCACTCTATGTACTCCAGATTATAAAATTTGTGAACATCTTGATGAGACTCTTGGGACAAGCTGACAGGTCGTGTCATCACCTCTAGCTTACCATGTCAACGCCTGCAAAGTTCGCTTGCTTATCAGCTAAAATTGTAGTAATAAGCGGTCTGCACCTTCTGCAATCATTTGAGTGACATTACAGCAAGTAGAAACTTATTTTTGTTTGTGATGTATCTGCAGTGCAGGCCGGGGACAAAGCAAAGAGGGAAATTCTTATAGCGATGCTGTCTTTTGCAGACCTGTTGACTACCCACAGCAGGTAAAGACCAAACTTGCTGCCTCACCGTTGCATCGCCTTTTTGCTTTCTCTGCAAAATACTGTGTTGGATAATTTTACCCTCATTCGCAAGAGGAGAAATAAATGCTCATATATTTTTCTGGTCACTATTGTGTGGCATGGAAACCCATCCCGGTGCCATCTATGGCAATTTGCTTGTGTCCGTAGAAAACAAATCAGCAATTTTGTGGTCTGTAGCAGCTCGACTGGTATCATGAAAACTCATACGAGTACCACAGCGTGTCCCTTTGCCCGTTATCAGAAGGCTTCTTTATTTTTTTTGCTTTGCATTTTTCAAGTGCCATGAAGTCTTGATGAAAGACCTCGTCCCCTCCTGACCTTAAACTCTGGCCTGAAACATTTCGTGTGTCACTTTGATGCTCCAAAATGACACATGAGAAGCTTAAACTGTGTCGACTTGACATGTGAAATTTGCTTGAAGTGGCGCGCTATTTATACAAATCCCACGGTATCATGTCAGCCGTACTCAGCAGATCTTCTTCATGACAGTTATACTTCACTGAGGAGACATAATGGAGGTATACAACTCTACTTTGCTGGCTATGGAAGTAACATTGGAACTGTTCATATATTCTGCATTCATTCTGATGGATATCTGCTTCGAAGAGCAAAACACTAAAATATTAACTGAACTTCAAGTCTGGCTTTTCCTTTTATAGTGTAAATGTAAGCACACACGTACATATCCTCACCTCACAAACAGAAGAAGCCTTTTTTTGTCACAAATACATCACAACATTGTGAAATGTTTTCACATATCCCAGCTGAGGTCAGAACACAGGATCCGCCACGGTAGGGTCTTGCTCAAAAGCCCAACATCGATTGTGATACGACCAAAACCAATAGTTTGAGAGCAGTCAGAGGGAACCATAACAGTTCATTTGTCCCAAAACCAAACATATGAGTTAGTATATAGTATGTAAAGTTATTTTTAAAGTTTGTTTTATTTGTATTCATCTTTATCTTACTGAGGATACGCAATTTCAAATTTAGGATATTTTTAATTCTTGACTTGATATTCTTACCAGTGTAACATACTGCCTGAGCTCCTTTACTGTGAAATCATTACTTGCTAAATTTCTCCAACAACAGTGATATTTTCAAGTGTCCTTGGTAGCGTGTGAGAGTTGTTTGGAGTCAACTGATTTACCTGAATTTGAGCATCGTTCACTTTTACCGCAGTGTGACGATTTAGCCATCATGAATCCATCATGACATTTCCGGTCTTGCACTGAATCATAATCACTTGTGAACAAGATGTTAGATAACTTCTGGTTGCAAGTGCTCTTGTGTATTGAGACTAATGGCCGCCACAATGATTGCATAGTGGCTTTGGGGGATGTAATCAGCAAAGCTCTTTATGAGAAACTGCAGGTTTCTACTGTAATAAAATGAGACATGCTCTAACATTAAAGCAGCTGTGTGAGAATTTAGAAAGACCATGGGTGGAATCTTTTTTTTTTTCTCTCGGCGGTCAGCATACAGGCAGATCTGTGGAAAGGTGTCAACACTGAATGTCTGTGGTCAACCACCCTGAACAGCAGATAAACACACACAGACAGCATCACTGATGACTCTTTAGGATCAATTTCCTATTGTGATGGGAAGCTACTGTTGCTGTTGTTTTTTTGTTTTTTTATTCATTGCCTCTGACAATCATCTGTCAATAGCAGCGAGATGGCTTTCTGTGTCCTCTCACACTCAGTGCAGCAGTCTGGCAGGTATAGTGATTGCAGTTTATATATAATAATGGATAACGAGACTCGCAAGCAATGCGGTGGACAAGTCTTCTGCCCTATGAGGACATAAGAGGAGAAGAAACTTGTTTCCTTTCCTGCAACCTGAGAATCCACTCCCCCCCTAGCTCACAAGAGACGAAAGAACTGTCTTTGCATGTTCCTATTAGTTTTTATTACCCCCTAAATATTAGCTACTTGCTCAGCCTCGCTGGTGTCTGTCACTGTAGCCCAGGAGGCCTGACCAGCAGGATAAACACTAGACTTTCATTTCCAGCTATGGACAGCTCTCTAATCTCACCCGGGCTTCAGATTTACTGCCCCTCGTAACCAGCGAATACAGATGGAAAAGAGGGCAGAGCGATTCTAGTGCCCTCTCCTCAATCATGGAGAATATGCACAACACCTTTAATCTACAGTCTCCGCATGAGGGCGGACGGATTCGGAGGTAGTTTATCGGCAACGGCAGCCGTGAAGCAGAATCCGTACAAATATCTGGGGTTTAAAACTGAACAGCAGCACTCTGTTCTCAGAAAAGTCTCGGTCCAGACTCTCCTTCCTCCAATGCAATTCACATTCAGGTATTTTTCTCAGTGTTTCCTTTGGCCACTCATTAACTCTGTGTATGGAATTGTGTGAGACAGTTTGCCAGATGCCCAATTGTCCTTCTTT